TCAACAACAATGCTTTGGCTTTGTTATATGACAATTGGCTTCAAAAGGGTATCATGATGTTGTGCAAATATATATGACAGGCATTGTAGAAAGCATCTCCGATCCACAAGCCATATATTATTGATTGAGTCTGTCTGTCTGTGTCTGATTTTACTATTTGAAATTTCAGCTCTTGTGTGCCGCACGCATATCAAGTTAATCTCGTTGAAACGATAAGTTTGTTTTGTTCATCAATATCTATTGTCTATCTATCTAACATTATAGATCTCAATAAATGTGTTCGAGTTGGCTACAGGGTATCTGCCAGTGCTGCACTCTCAACTAGAGCACTTTTATTTATCCAACTATGACCACGGGCAGTAGGTGCAAAGGGTGGGGCAGTAGGCGTGGGCGACCCCAAACTCGCTGCTCTTGCTGCTGCGTAGGCAACAACAACAATAACAAGTAGAAGGAAAACGCCCCAGCAAAGCCCGTTAAATTGTCAAATTAGGAAGTGAATTGAGGCTCAGGCAAGAACACGTGGGCACAAGCACGTTGCCCATTCCATTCAATTGGATGCACAACAGAGCAACAGCTGGTCAATTGGTGCTTGGGCTGCTGCTGCTGCTGCTGTTGCTGTTGCTGCCGTTGCAAATTGAAGCAGTTGGCCCAAACTTTAAGGCCAGTTCATTTGCGACCAAGCCAAGACACATTCAAATATTTCATTGCAAAGCGGCGTCCACAAAAATAACAAAAGCTACGAATACACAGCCAGAGACTAGAGAATACTAACTACTTTACCGAGAGAACTGCACTGATTTCAGGGTCGCCAACGTTACTGTTGCTGTTGTTCTTGTTGTTGGCAACTCGTTTATTGCCGTTGCAACAGTTGCTGGCGCTCAGATGTCGGCTCTCGACTCTCGTCTCTGGAAATTATGCCAACAGGTGCTCAACATTCTCGGCATAGTTTCATAGTTTCAGCACAGTGCAATGTAATTCATGAGGCACCATCACGAACAACCACAACAACCTGTTGTTAGAGGGTGAGGATAGCTGGGGCGTGGGGTGTGGCGAGGGGAAACTGGGACTGATTGAGCTATTGTAATTGCCAGTCACAATCTTTTCAGATGCGTGTAGCATCCACAGAACATTAAAGAGCAACTCATTCCATATTTACACAAGAAGGCACGCATATATGCCTGTATACACATACATAGATAAATCTATATATATATATATATATATATATAAACCAAATACATAATGATCGATTACTTTGCTCCTCTGCCTTCTCCCAAGAAACCGTATCGAGAAGTAATCAAGCGATAAACCATTCAAAAACCACCTAATGAAAAACCGTTTTCTCATATCTATCGTATGTATGGTGTTCTGTTATTATGCCCAACTGCACTGGAGAGTTGAGTGTTCATTGCACCTGTTGTGAGTGCACTCATTGTATTCATTTGAATTCTACTCGAGTACTCGAGTACTTTTCGCTACATTATCTTTGTCTCTACGATATAAACCTTTTGCTTTGCTTTGCTGCAGCTTTTCTTTAGCATTATGTCACGTTTTGTATTTTGTCTCCACACACACACACACACACACACACACACATATATACACATATAAAATATAAATAATGGAAATGCTGGCGCCAGCATCGCATTGTATAGGCAAAGTGGAAACAACAACAATAACAAAAACCATTTAATGGCTGGCTAACAATTTGGTCAACAATCTTGTCTTGTGGCATTGTCGTTCTTTTGTTACTCTTGCTGATGGTGTTGTAATATTGTCGTCAAGTATGTAACGCCTTAAGCCTTAACGCCTGATTCCATAAGCCATATATATATTCTTGAACATATTCTTGATCATCATCAATAGCAGAGTCGAGTTAGCCATATCCATCTGTATAAATGCACGGATTTCAGACATGTGTAAGAGCTTCAAATTTATGAGCTCTCGTATAACATACGCTGATGAAATTGATAACTTAATAAATTAAATAAATAATTTAATAACTTATAAAGCTGCTAATCTGAAGCTATATCTGTTGACATACTATTTATCATTTGAATAAATTTCACGGTAGAAAAGTGTTTATTCATATTTACTAAATTACCCAGCAGCAAGCGAAAGGATAAGGACTTGGGTGAAGGGTATCTTCTAGTTGAGCTCTCGAGACTGCAGCATTTTTATTTATTATGGGCATTTAGATAAGTGCTGGTGTAGTCGGGTCTGCTTCGGTATATTATCTTCGGCGTGGCCACGGAAAGCTCGGTTTCAGTTTTTAGCCGCTCATCACTCGCTGCAGAATGTTCATTAGTCTTACGTAATTGTCGCCAATTCGTTGCGTGACTTCTGGCCAATTGATGACCAACATAACCAACAACAATATTAATAACAATAGCGTTGCCTTAACTATCCGCTTGTGTGGCCTCGACGGCGGCATTGCCTATAGTTTCAACTTCAGCGTCAGCGTCAGCTTCATCTTCAGCACTCTCTCCAGAGCAAGAGAGCCGAAGCGGTTCGGTTAGTCTATAGAATAGTATGTTTTCTTAGCTCTAATTGCATCTGGTTAATGTACCAAAATTCGAATCCAAATTCTTGTAAATAGGCAAAGCTAAAAATAATTTTTCACAAGCTACACTATCTTTTCGTTAGCATGTTTTAGGCACTTCTTTCTACAAACTTTGCTTTTTATTGGCATAGATAATTACATCAATTAGTAGCAGTCACATTTTCTTTAGCATGTGATTGATTTTCGTACAGTAATAGCATATGATAATTATCAAATCCAAAATGAGTCGCTTGTGAAAAGAAAGCGACTGACCAACAAAAATTAACAACAAAAAGTTTGTCCAACCGCTGTTTGCATTGCGTGAGATGAGGCTGAACTTAAATTTGGAGTTGGAGTTGGGAATGCCAGCGCCCAGACTCAGTCCCAGATCCATAATAAATATAACAGAGAGACCGACTAAAGCAGAGATTGGCCTGTATGCGTAAATTTGTTGCGTTGATTTTTGATGTAATTTATGAAGAATTTTAATCAGGCTGCAGAATAGTCGAAATGAAGCCGCTTACATATCGCATACCTCCATAATCCCAGACATATGTATATGTATGTGTGTATGTATGAACGCATGCTTGAGCTTATGCCAGAGTCAATTCGAATTGACAGACGAACACAGCACAACGTTGAATGGTGAATGTTGATTGCTCGCTGGATGGATCGATCGATCGACGGCTTGTTGCTTGATGCATGCTGCTCAAATTGGCTGCCACAAATTGTTGCATTTCACGCAAGCAACAATTGACCGCAGTCATCAGCAATTGAAATGCCTGACCAGCCTCAGCTTCCTGCTCCCCCAAACCTACTACACTTCCTTGCAACTCATCGAGTTATGCCGCATCATATTTCGTGAGCATTGCGTTGCAGTCAACTGACAAACATTTGATTAATATGCAAAACAACAGCTGCAGGTGCGTTCACATTCGTAATATGTTAATCAGGTATGTTGAGAGTTTGGGACTGCCACAGGTCGGATTTTGTGCCCCTACATAGCCTACCAGGGTAACGTAACAGCATGGCAGCATGGCAGCATGTGGCAATTAGCACTGTAACAGTCACTTAACAATTAGCATAGCCATTAAATTCCACTTTAGAGTCACATCTTTTAGCACTTGAACCAGCTAATAACAACTATGCTCTAGTCGAGAGAGCTTGACTAGGAGATTAAAATAAAATCAAATAAACCAATATTCAAAAGTGTAAGTCTCTATCTCTGACATTCTTTAAGATAGTTAAGTTGTTCACATGGCTAATTGACAGCGTAATACTCCACTGCCCATAAGTAATGTCGGGGGAGGTAAGGAATAAGGCGATGCTCGACCTTTGAAGTATGTGTTCAGTAATCTAGCTTTAAAATTGTGGAAAATATTTACATACATACATAGGCATTGATTTGGATTACACCTATAAAAATACCACAAACAATACCAGCTTAAGCTACGGCATACATTTACACATAGACATACCTACCACTACTATTTATTGGGCGTTTTAAAATCAAGTTCGTTGCCTAAGTCTTTCGATTAAAATTGTCATCGCCGTCGACTTCATTGAATGAACAACGATGCTAATACGAATGCGAATGAATTGCATAATCAGAAGTGGCCAATGCTTCCGTTCGACTCTTGACTCTTTGGGCTCTTTGGCTGGCCCACATATTCACATATTTTGTGGACGCGCTCAGCATTCTGATATGCGGAAACTTTCACTCGCAGAACCCGCTTGGACCGTCGCTGCGGTCCGGTTTCAAGCTAAGGCCAAAGATGTAGTTGCTTGTGCTCATCAATTTGTATGTGGTGCGCTTAACTTGGCTGCGAGAATTCTCATTGCCGCCGTTGCTTAAGTCGCGGCTAATTGACGCAGACACCGCAGTCGTCACGAGACTAAAATTGCTTTCTATACCCTTGTCGGCAAGTGGGTATTTTAATTGTGCTGAATTCTTATATGAGAAAATTTCTTATATATAGCTGTCATAGGAAGAAGCGATCGTTATTATACCCTTGCAGACAAGTTTGGAACGCATTGAAAGACACTCCACCAGTTATGTTTATTAAGACATTTTGACTCAGTGCTGCTCAATTTGTGGTAGATGACTGCAGTCAACGCAGTCTACTACACCAGCTGGATCGCAACACTTTATTGTATATTATTATTTATTTCTTGTATAAGCACCTTTTTTTTGCTCATCAAGTTATCACAACCAAAATCAACAGCTAGCAGATTCTCACCGCTCAATCATAAGTTCCGATGGTAAGAATCGGTCCAGTCTGCAAGGGTATGCAATGTTCGGCGTGCCTAAGAATGCTGTTCTTTCTTGTATTATTTTTTGGTTTTTTTTTTTTTTTTTTTAATTCAAGCGATGCGGGTGCGGACAGCATTATCTTGTGATATACATCTATACTTATTTTAGTTTTTCTCTCTCTCTGTCTGTCTTCTATATTTGCAGCCATGCCAACAGCTACAATTTGAGCTGACATTGGCGAGAGATTGCCGAAGGTTTTGAATGCCAGCCATAGGCGTAGTGGACAGTAGAAGCTTTCGCAGCCGCACAATGGCCACCCATGGCACGCCTATGACGCCCCCGAGCACACTGTACCATCGGCCATCGTCCAGTGGTGGTGGCGGTGTTGCTGGCACGCCCATTACGGTCTCGCTCCACTATCCGTTTGCTGCGGGCGCCGTGCAGAATGGGGCGGAGCGAAGTCGTCTGCTGGAGCTGCTGCGTGCACCCAATAATCTCACCTCGCCCACGCTGGAGCCCTCGTCGAAGGGTCTGCTGAATGGACCCGGTCAGAATAACTGCTTCCTCAACTGCGCCGTCCAGGTGAGTGTCTCTCTCAACTTCAATCAAATTAGCTCGAGTTGTAGTTATTGAAATCGCTTTGCTGCGTGGGTGGATCCCAAAAGTCAGCGAACCGAACGAATAGATACCATCAGAGTTGCAAATGACAAATATAAAGAAGCACTGCAGTTGGAATCGTTGGTTTTGTGGTTTAAGTTCACTTTTGAGATAATCATCTAAAGTTGTTTAAAATTGTGTGCGTATTTTTCAAGTGAAATCATAATTATCTCAATGACAGCTACTGAAAGGTGTACTTTAATTTGGTTTTATTCACAATTCCACTTGAAACTATAATTTGAGAGATACCAAAGAAACACAAAATACCAGTATATATATAATATTCATACATATGTATAGATAAATACATATATTGTATTTGAATTCTCAACAATTTCGCACAGTTTTTGTTTTGGCTGATTTGATGGCCTCAAATGGCGTTGGGCTTTGTTTTACTCGGGGCAACCTTCAATTTGGAATCGTGTTAATTTGCTGCTCAATTTGTGGGCAATCTGTGAGTCAACAATTGATGTAGGCGAGCCAGAGGCGCCTTATAAGGTATTTCCCCATCCCCATACAAACTTAACTAGCAGCACAAAGTCAAGGCAAGGCCAAAACTGAGATTGCTACGCTTTTCACAGACCCAACTGCTTTACATAGTACAAATTCGCCTGCTTGCATGTTCTAGCCCCAAAAGGGGGCCACTCAGTGGCTTCATCTCTGACTCGTCTGCCTTCTTTGCATAGGGGAAAGCGAAAGGCTGAAAAAGGGCAGCGGGTATAGGGTGGAGGGTAGTGGGTAGTGGGTAGAGCAGAATATAATGCAACCCAGTTGCATAAATTTGTTTTGGATTCTATGAGCGGGGGCCCCATAATAAGCATAAATTTGTATATTTATGATTCGAACAATTGTTTCTGAATGGTTGGGGGAAGGGAGGGGTGTAGATCTCATGTACAATGTAGGAGTACTTATGCGAAAGCACCTTTAACAATGGCCTGCAAATAATGCAAAACTCAATTAATACAACAATTAGTCTCGAGCTACAAGAAATGGGACGTCTTCTTAGCCCACCCGCCACCTCTCAACTCTCAACCTCAACAAAAGACCCCTCGGCTCTGTTCTCTTACTAAAAAAAAGTTTTCTACTTATGGAGAAACTATGAAATATACATACATTCATTAAAGAGACCCATAAGAAGGTCCTACGTTTGTAAGAATATCATAATAGATCAGAAGATTCTTGAAAATGATAGATATTACTTTTGAATGCGAATTCTATACGAGAGTAGAATTGAATGATTATGCTTATTATAAATAAACTAAAAACTGCTGCCTACAATATTCACAGTATTTGAATGGTTTGAATTGGTGCCATGACTCATTTACTGAGTGGACATCGAAATTGGTTCAGGGTTTCCACAAATCTCTGGTAAATCACGAATCGATTCTTAAGCGACTGGACCAATTGAAAGATACCTCATGAACGTAAACATTGGACATTTAATTGGCGTCCACTTCCAGTAGCTATTAAATGGGAAGTTGGGTGGGTTGGTCTAGACAGTGTTTGGGTTTGGTTTCGGCTTTGGAATTTAACTCAACTCTCGACTCAGCTTAGCGCCTTCAAGGTGCGGCTTTAAGCTAACATAAACTCGAATTTAATTGAGCGTGTGCATGTGCTCCTATTTCTAATTCCAATTGTGATTCGTATTTGTGCTGCAAAGTGGGTTCTCTTCACTTGGACACGAAGCGAGAAGCAGACATCTTTGAACCCGTTGAGTAAATATACATATAAATTAGTATGTTGATGCTGTTACTTAATATAAGCCAGTCATAGGACTTATGTGTAGGCAGTTGGGCTCCGTTCTGTTGAGTGTAACTAATCTTCGGTTTTCTTTTTGGTTTTCTTTTTTATTTGGTTTGGTTTTGGGCGTGTCAAAAGCGACAAAACGCAATAGCAATGGCAGCAACAACAACAATTACATCCAACAAACAATGGCAATCAAATTGTGGCCAAATAGAGGCGAGAGATTTTTAGCTGTTTGTAGATCGAGTTGTAGTTGAAACGTGTGCCAAGCCAAGCCCAAGTGTCTTGCCCCTTTCCTCTTTCCTATGTCCACTTCCCCTGACAGCTCCAACTTTTGACGTACGCATTGTCGGTGATGCTGTTGTCGGTTTGGTTGCTGTTGTTGATGTTGATGTTAGCATTGATTGTTTGTTGACATGACATACAAATTTGAAGCTTCAACGAAAGTGTTGAAGAGCTCGATTTTGGGAAACAATGGCAATTGTCAAACAGCCAGAAAATAAAAGTGTTTGACTAGCATATACCCAGCAGAGATTGAGAGCACACATATGTGGGAAGTGAATATTGCTTGACTTGAAGTCACCTTAGATATTATTCCTAGCAAGAACCTTTTGGTATGTTATGTGATGATTATAATAGTCTTCATCATGTTGTCAATTCGGAGTCATCTACTTGTATCATGAAGAACTTAATTTAAAACGGTTTGTTTTATGAATATTTCTGTTTTAGTTTTTTTCTTCCGGGCTTTGCCTTATTTAATATTAATTTTTAACTTATATTTTTAGTAAATTTAATTAAATGAATTTGTATTTTTCTGTAAATAAATGCGTACAGCTAAGACAAATTGGGAATATTGGCTTGCAGATATAAATTTATTAAGTACATCTATGCATAAATTTGCGCAGTTGCACAACAACACTGTTGGGCATTCGAGATTGGTTGCAGGGTATGAGAAGTGTTATCCGAACAATTAGTAACAGTTTTGGGGCTGCCGCTTCCGCTGCAACTGACAACTGGCAACTGGCAATTGTTGCAAGTGGCAAACTGGCGACTGACAAACGCTGAGAACACTCTGATGATGATTTCACTTGATATGCTTTTAATGTGTTTCTTTTGCCATAGTCGTCGTTGCGGAGGCAGTCAACTGCAACGGCGTTGGCAGCGAGACCCTTGACGACAAAACTAAATACAAAAAAAAAAAACAAATAAAGTAACAACCAAGCCTCGCACTACGAAAACTTCTTGGTCTTGTGGTGTAATAAAGTAGCAACAACAACAGCAACAAACGCCATAATTTTCTTTGGCTTCAATTTCAGTTGAAGACGGTCAACAATCAGTCCAAGACGCTGCTCGCTGCATGATACATGAGGAAGGAACGGCTCAAAAAAAAAAATAAAAACAAAAAAAAAACAAATACAGCAACAAATGAAAATGGGAAAAAAATGAGAAAAATGAGTAGTGTGGAGTGAAGTGGAGTTGAGGGGAGTGGAGTAGAGTGGAGTGTATTATGCTCATAGACATCGCACATCATTTCACAGCTCTGACTCTGCCGGTGCCAGTGCCTCTATTATTGTATCTGAGACTTGGCTTAGATTAGTTCACACGAAAAGCCAAACAAACGGCTAGACCAGACTGTCAGGCAGACAGACATTCAGACAGACATTCTGGCCACTTGTTGCAGATCATTTAGTTTTAGCTTTCCGCTCGACTGCCAGCCGACAGAAGCAGCAGCAACAACAACAACAAGAACAACAACAACGAAATGAATTTGATATCACTCTTCTGGGACAGAGCAAATTTTGATCACTTCAATCATTGCATTTGATCGCATTTGGTATTTGTTTGGCATGTTGCTGCATGCAGCACGCGGGTAGCAGGTGCAAGCGCGTGCATACCCCAAGCCAAAAACCAGCTGCAGCTTAAATGGCAATCAGCGAATTTTGGCCAACGGCACTGTAACAGTGGCAGGTGACCAGTTGCCAAATCGAACCGAAATGGCTGACACAAATACTGAGCGAGATCATGATCAGATACCCAGTAGCCTGATCTTAAGTACTCTATAAAAAGAGGTTCCGCTTTGATATCAGAATGAATCAGAAATCAGAGGCAAAGTAATTGAAATTCAGCAGCCGAACTGGCGCTGAAATTCGTCATTTGACAGGGCCTCGCAACCAATAGTGCAACAGGAACAGGAATTCGATTCGGTTTGATTATCTGGTTCAAACCACTAACCCAAGCAACGAATATTTTCGGGGGGTTTTAAGAATCGGCTCTTAGATAAACATATACATATATATCTATATATATAACTTAGGAGAATTATGAGAATTTTGGTCTTAAACCATTGCATATAAATCAAAAATATTACAATGACAGATGTGTGGCTAGAATGAGTAGGCGGCTGACTGTTGCCTGTTATATTTTAGCCAGAGTAGTAAAGGGTATGAAAACAAGCGACTGAAGTGCTACGGTTACGGCTGAGGGAGCTGCCTGGGAATACTTAATACCCAAGTTTTACTTAAGCTGCCTGCTCGGCGTGCACTTCTTCGTCTTGTCTGTGGCTGGCAACGACTCCTGCGCAGAGGCCAATTTGATCTTCCTGTCCTCATGGCCACGACGAAGACAACTCGAGCAGAGTTGCTTCTTTGGGGTTGCAGTTTGCAGTTGGAGTCGCGTCGCGTCGCGTCTGACTTTTGGCCATGCTTAATTTAACAAATGCATGTTTAATCAACAAACACATGAACACACACTCACATATATATATATATATAGACTGTCGAGTAATTTATGTAAATTTATGCATCTGCACTTATGTACTCACATTTCGTTGCTGTTGTTGGCAGTAATTTATTGTATTATTTCTTTTGTTTTTAGTGTAACATTGTCATCATGATCAACATGATCAACGGCGTGCATTCATCATCATAATCACGTTCAGTGTTCAGTTTTCAGTTTTCATGGCCAAATTGCGAGGACTGAGTCTGTCCGCATTTCGTATGCGCAGCGCGCTTGCAACCTTTCTGCCGTAATTGTATCACCCAACAACAGCAGCAGCAACAACAACATCGTGTTAAGCTATTCGAAAGTTGTCCACAATTGTCCAATGTTCAATGAACCAATGTACTAATGCGCAAGGGGGTGCTTGTGAAACGGTATAAAAACTTTAACAAGTAACCCCCACC